CACCGAAGCTAGGAAATGGCACTCCACTGCTGCATCCTTTCAGCCTGCCCTCCGAGGGTGAGAAGGCAACTTCAATGAAGGGGAAAAAAGGAGGTGGCAGATGCAAACTATCTTCATGCTTTACCAGCCTCCTTTCCTCTCCACTCCAGCTAGATGGGCAAAACCTCCCATCTATTGAAAATGCTAGGTGGGTGACAGGGAGCCAATGATGGCTTCTGTCACTTCTCCTGCTCTGCACTCTGCATCAGCCTCTGCAACCTTTGCCATAGGGTTGCATCCCTAGAGGTGGCCTTGAATGTAACACTATTTTCACTTGAATACATTCAGAAATCATGCTTACAAGATTCTGTTAACATTTATGTTGTAGATCGTTGGTGGGTTGGTTTAAAAAATAACCACGAACAAATAGCCTTTGAACTGCACAGCTGGAAATAAGTTTGCAATTGAAAATTCTTTGTTCAAAAAGTCAGAGTCAGAAAGTACCTTCCCTTTCTTTTTCTGCATAAAATTGTAAATTTTGTAAATTTATTTTTAGACATTAGTGGAGCTGGTAGGGAACTTAAAGTATAATTATGCCTTGTTTAAATAAGCAATCAACTAATGTATTCTTTCTTAGGCATCATAAATCAAGCGACCTTTGTGTGTGAGTGAATATGAAATGTACAGCTTGCATGTTCTTTTCACCTACAGAGAAAGGGCAAGTGCCACATTGGAATTGCTAAATTCAAACTTAAAGAATCTGTGCGGTAGTGCTTCTCCTTAAAAGACTACTTTCTCTTTCACTTGTGCTCAATGCTTTTAAAATAAAGAACCCTGATGGGAACAATTAATAAACAGCCTAGTTTCAAACCTGCTCATCTTTGTACTGTGGGAATTATAATTTCAATACACTGGAAGAAAACTAAACACAAAGATAACTTTGGCTGTTATAATCAAGAATCTGTTATCAATGAGGAAAGCAAAAAAGAGTTTCTTATTAAACACTGATCTGAACACTGCTAGTATATGAAACTAATTTACTGAGAAAATGATTTTACTGAGAAAAGCATCCATCTTGGTGGCCAGTGATTGAATGATCAGATCCCTTGGAGGTGCTCATAATCACTGAAGAATTAGGACAGACACAAACTTTGCAAGGCAAATGCCTATATATATATATTCCCTTAATAGACTTTTTCCATAGCAGCAGCAATTAACTACAAAAAGGGCTTAATACTCTGTCTTCACCATTGTTCCTAGGATATCATGGAGCAATGGTTATTATCTATGAGAGGCAGTTGCTGGTAGCACCTCCACATGCCATGGTCTTAGGACCTTCCTGGAGGCATTTATGTGTCCACCAGGTAGGCAGAGTATCTGCTGTGTTATTCTGTGTTGGTGAGGGAAAGAATGGAATTCAGTTTCATAAGATAGATGCTTTGATTCAAAATGGCTCTGGCCAGTTACTGCAAGCAAACTAATGCTAGGCAAGACATTCTAATGATTTCTGGAAGGTACTTTGTTAGTCTGTTGCAGGCAAGGAAAGGCAAAAGGCAAGGCAAGGCAAGGCTCTTCAGATACTTTAAAGGTTAAGAAATTTATTGTGGCATAAGTGAAGTCAGTGCTGGTAAAACAAAACATTCTGGCTCTGACAGCCATGTAGTATGATAAAAATCTGTTATCCTTTGGTGATAAAACTGAAGGTATTGATTAATTCTAACTTAGCAAGGTCTGGCTCTTATAATAACAATCCTCTTTTTGAAATGACTTTGACCACTTTAAGGCCAGTGATAGGATGTCCCAAGAGGCTGAAGTGTTCCCTCACTGGTTTCTGAATGTTGCCGTTTCTGGTATAATATTTGTCATATTTGTGTCTATGCATTATTTTACGTAGATATATGTCTGTTAACCCTGTGAAGAGTGGAGAAGGGAATTGCTGGCAGAAGATGCCCTATATCATGTTGGAAGATAAGCAAGTGCATGAACCTGCAATGCTATGAGGGATGCTGTTATCACAAATCCAAATGTTCCAGAAGATAACACATACATGCAGTGTTTTGTGCTAACAGCAACAATTAAGCCCAATGGCATTCCAAAGGACAAGTGTTATTATAGTTGTTTCTAATGTGTAATATATTATGGTTATTATGTTTTACTGTTTTTTTATCTCATGTTGTGAGCTGTCCAGAGGTGCTGTGGCACAAGTGGGCAGCATACAAATGTTTTAAATAAATAAATATTAGGACTTGCAAAAGTGTTTCCCAAAGGAACAAAGCTGGCATCTGGGTGGATGCAGTCCCTCTGTTTGTATCCTTGTAGGGTTGCCTATTGTTGCGAAAGTGTGAGGTAGTTACACAATGCTGACTTGCTGTTGCAAGCAGGAAATGTGAAGCTGGGTGGAATGGGGAATGGAATGGGGTATCACGGAGGAGGATATGGCTGACTGAATTGGTGGGCCTCCTATTACTTTGTATTTTGTTACAAGTCCCATTTGCCCATATTAATTAGCAGAAGTCTAGATCTAGAATGTATGTGGTGGGGAGGATTCTCTGTACACTTTTCACATGTTCACACATTTTGGAGCACCTCACAATCCCAATTGGTTTTAACTACCCTAAATTGGGCGGGAGGGGGGTCATCAGCACACTTGGCCATTTCACTGCTTACTCAGAATTCCAATTCATTAGTGAATAAGCTTATCCTAATAAGCCTAAAAACCCAGTGGAACTCCAGTGGAAGAAATTGCAAATACATTGATCTTCATTTACCTTTTTGATGCCCATTCTTTCATTTCACTAGAACCAGGGGTCATCCCATGAAGCTGGTTGGTAGAAGAGTCAGGTCAGGTAAAAGGAAGTACTTCTTCACAAAGTGCATGTTTACCAAGTATGGATTCACTGCCACGGGAAGTAACGATGGCCACCAATTTGGATGGCTTTAAAAGGGGATTAGACAAATTAATAGAGGAGTGGCTACTAGCCTTGTTGGCTATGTGTTACCTCTGTTATTAGAGGCTGTATGCCTGCATACACCCATTGTTCGGTCGCTGGGGCAGGCAGAATTCTTGTACCCATCCTTCTTGAGGATCCTGTGGGCAGCTGGTTTGCCACCTGTAACCAGTGTGCCAAACTAGGTGGACCATTGGTCTGATCCAGCGTGGCTTTTCTTACGCTCTCATTTTGGGGATACCATTATTGACATAGTTAGATTCCTGGCTGGTTGGGGATTTTTGGATCAGTTTGAATTGTACACTGAGGTTCTTTGAGCAGTTCATCTACTTTGCTAATCTTGGCTAATTAAACTGAGCCAATGGGAAATCACAGTGTGGCCCAGCAGTGAATTAATGCCTTGTTGAAACAGGAATATCCCTGGCCACTTTAAGGGGACAGTCATGAGATCATCTCTTAGGAAACCTTCACTGAACCTGGAAGAATGTGCTGTTGAATGAAACCAGCCATCTAGACATTTTTGCATCTAGGTTAACATAAACTCCTTGATTCATATTAATCTCTCAGCACTTTTTAAATCCTTTTTGAGTGGTGGGCATATCTGGAAGTTGAGTTCTGTTCTGCTGTGGAGGGCATGGCAAACTGGCTGGCATGGGCAGCATGACAAGCAACAAGCAACCTGTCCAAATGGCTGAGTAGAAGGCAGTGCTGGTGTCTGATTTCCAACGCACTAACCCCACACTTTTCCGCTCCATAGGGAAACACATTTCACAATGATCCAAGCCGCTTGTAAGAAAGTATGTTAATCGTTGGAGGGACAGGGCAAGAAAGAAAGATTTGTGACCATCATATTACCTACCTCTACCATTTACCATGATGTTTCAGGTGGAGCTTTACCCAGACTTTGGTGCTAACTGAAAGTTTCATGCTGTGCATGAAAGTTTCCTGCAGTACAGTGACACAGCATAGCAGAGTTGTGGTGCTAGGGCTGGTAATGGGATTAGTCATTCTTTAAATGTGAGGTTCGAAGAAGACCCACATGGTCCGAGCACAGAAGGTCCAAGGGGAATTAGGTATCAAGATATTGCTAACAGGCATCTTCATGCTGGAAAAACAGTTCTTGTTTCAGCCGCTTTCTGCCCAGAACTAAGAGCTTTTATGTTTAAGCCCTTATAGCCTCAGCTAAGGCACAGCTGGAGACGGCCAGAAATAGCATACTCATGAGAAAGGCTTTGCGCATGACTGCCTCTTTACTCATGAGTCTTGCCTCTTAAATGACACTTTTTCACCTGGCAGACATGTGTGCCTGCACCTCAGATGCCTACATCGCTTTGGGCTAGATGATGATTCAGCTTCCATCTCTGAATCAAAAAGGGGCATCCTGGCATTTTTTAATTGTCTGTCCCTATTGTTGTTTGTGCCTTGTATTGATATTTGTGGTTGGTTGGCTGGTTTATGTAGAATGCTGTGGAATGAAGCTGCAGTTAAGATGTTTCTCAAATAAATGAACAACTCATGAACAACAACTCAAATAAATGAACAACAATAATAGTTCTGCAGCTACCCTACATGATACAGAGAAAAATAAGTGTATGCATGTTATAATTGTTTCTGGACAACTATTTATTTTAATTTTCTTTATTTAAAACTTTTCTATACCATCCCTTTATGGATGTCTCAGGCTGGTTTATCTGGCTTAATACCAGCCAGCAGAGCACTGGAATGGCTTCAGAGAGCTTTAGCATGGAAGTTACCCCCAACATCTAGCCTCATTCTGCTCCCAAGAGTGAAAACCAACCTGTAAAATAGATTCTATACTGCATTCTTTTTTGTACCTGCAGGACTTTGCCAGTGTCTAAAAAACACTGTCATCTTTTAGTATAGAATGTCCTCCCAGATTAGTTCAATAAAAAGTCTAGCACTAAGCAGTAACCCAAATGAAACCTTGGACATAAGGAAATTGAACAGAATGGAGGAGGCATGAAATGCATTTTTGCCCAAAACTAAATGAAGCATCCTAACACCAATAATTCCACCACTGGTGGTTATTCTAATAACATATTATTATTTCAGATCAACCTGCAAAGGAAGATGAGAATCACTGGAGTAATAACTCAAGGTGCCAAGAGAATTGGAAGCCCAGAATATATAAAATCATACAAAATTGCATATAGCAACGATGGGAAATTATGGGCGACATACAAAGTAAAAGGCACAACAGAAGATATGGTAAGTCAGTATCATCAGCATAAAGCAAATGCATTCAGTAGGGAAAATTAATTGCCTTATAGGAAAATTGGGTTGACTGAGTCTTTTTTGCCTTCATAGATTTGTTCTGGGAAACTCTAGAATTTATTGACTTTTTGTGTTGATTAAGAACTAATCATTTTATAAAGGCAGAGTCATGAGGCTATAATAATTCTGTTTATTATATTTAAATGATTTCTGTTTTAATTAGTTTATTGGTAATTACTTCTCCAATCTCAATTTGGCTACGGTTAACCCTAAAAAAGGATAGGATCCATGCAGTCACACTCTGTTCTATAGGATATGGCAATAACATTGCTCTTAAGGAAGACAGGTAGAAGGTCAAAATGGCATTTCTGTCCTGAAGGAAAAAATGCATATCGGGAAAAAACCACACATCATTTTAATGATGTAGCTTGCAGCTATGTTATTTTCTCAAATGTAAATATGAGCTATAGAGGATCCCATACTCAACCTAAGCAATGAAAATTGCAAATGTGCAACTCCTGATATAGAACAGAATATAGTGGGGGACAATACCCCCATAAATTTCCATCCTAAGGTCACAATCGAGGTTGAGAATCCCATGTTTATGGTCCGGTGAGGAGCGGGGGCCACTTATGTGTTAGCGTTATCTTTCAGTTAATGAGTGGCTCAGCCCTTCACTCATTTTCCATTGCAGACCTATGTGCCAACTGTCTAATCTGTCAAATGAAAACACTAGACCTTTGGTTGGCATTAAATCATTGTCAGATGCAGTGATAATGAATCTTATTGGTCCATGTTGACATTCAAGTGTATTCTGCAATGTCTTGTATTCTATCTTAGGTATTCCGTGGAAATGTGGACAACAATACACCTTATGCAAATTCTTTTACCCCACCAATAAAATCTCAGTACATACGATTATATCCTCAAGTTTGCAGAAGGCATTGTACTTTGCGAATGGAACTCCTTGGATGTGAATTATCAGGTAGACGTTTTCCCATAATACTTAAAACATGCACTATTTACATTATAATCTCCTGTAATGCTTAGCATCAAAAGTGACTTTCAGCAATGCCAAATATATTGGGTTTTTAAAAAAATATTTCATCCTCCATTTATCTATATTTTCTTTCAGGACTACCCCCGCTTCTCCTCTTTCCTTGCCCCATATCCTGTCACATCCCACCCCTTCCCATCCCATCCTATTCCTTCCAAATTAAAATATTTTATCCCAGCTGTTACACAATTACTAAGGAGGAAAAACTGATTTTGAAAAAAATAAATACATGGCAATCACAAAATAAAAACAAATAAAAATACAATACTAAAACAGAATTAATTTGTGGCAAAACAAAAAAATCAAGCACCCACAGAAGTTAGAAAAAGTAAACGTATCTTTGCCTGTTCTAAGCAAAGGTTTGGTGGTTCCATAAGGAACACAGTTCCACATGCACACTTGCTCTATCAGCCATGAGAGGCAGAACCAAAGCATTCCTCTCCAGCTTGGAGCTGAGTAAGGCCATGGAGATCATTCCTGTATTTGAGGAGCGTGTGAGTGGTTGAACTGAGATATGTAGGCTTTCAAAATCCTTCCAGCCTCTACCTACAAAACTTAAACTTCCTTTAAAAGGGGAGTGGAACAGGTAAGTGACATCATGGAGCATGAGTTTGGCAGCAAGATCCTGTCCCCATTCCAAGAATGTACTTTATCCTCAACTTACATGCCAGCCAAAGCTGATTAAAGGAAATCCTGGCCATTGCTGCTGCCTGCCTGCCTAGGAGAAAAGCTGCAATTAGGTGACTACTCGAGCTGCAAACTGGTATTCTCAAGCACACAAACTGGTCCAACACAGGCTGTTCAGAGACTTAAAATAATGACCCTCACCTAAATAGCTGGATCACCTGTCACAGTGATATTAGAAGCCAACACAAAACAATACCTTCCAGTCCCACTCCAGCCAGCCAGTACTTGACAGCAGGCTGAACATGAGCCGGCAGTGTGACATGGTGGGTAAGAAGGGCAATGTCACCCTTGGATGTATAGCCAGAAGCATGGCTTCCAGATCTAGGAAGGTGCTGATAGTGCTGAACATGACTCTGGTGCACTCACAACTGGAGTACTGCATCCATTTCTGGGTTCCACATTATAGGAGAGACATAGCTAAGTTAGAATTGGTTCAGTGCAGGGTCACAAGAATGGTAGCTGGGTTGGGAGGCATGACATATGAGGAGACACTGAGGGAACTGGAGAAGAGGAGACTCCGAGGGGATCTTTTAGTGACTTATAGGTATGTGAGGGGATGTCATGTGGACGTGGGTCATGACCTGTTCTCCCCTGCAGCTGAGGGCAGAATGTGTTCCAATGGTGTAAAGCTCAAGGAACTGGGCTTCAGGGTTGATGTCCGGAAGTACTTCCTGATGGTTAGGACCCCTAAGATATGGAATGGGATTCCAAAGGAGGTGGTTTAGGCCCCATCAGTGAGGAGGTTCAAGGAAAGATTAGACAACCATGTGTTGGGGATTACATGAGTGGAGCCGGCTACAGCCAGGGGTCAGACTAGATAGCCAGCGCATACCTTTCTTGACTCACTTTGTTTCTATGTTTCAGTGTTTTTATAATGCTGAGAGCCATTGAGAGAAGCAATGATGACTTACACACACATCTATTTCCCATCAATGGTTATCTACCCTAGTATCAATTAGTTTCATTTCCAAAACTAGCCTAGAAGCCAGATTGGAATGGCCAATAAATGATGGATTTCATCCAAGAATTCCTGGAGCTGGGCTGTCCACATGCATTCTAGCCCCTTGCCTAACAATTTTAAGTATGACACAAGTTGATAGTTATTGAGATCAGTTGTTCCAAGCCAAATGTTCTTAAAGAAGCGTTCTCACCATTGCTTTCTGCTTCATGAGGCATTTCCTAAAGATGAACAAGAACTTAGTTTCAGTTTGCAAAACACTTGAAATGCTGTGCACATAATCCTTAACACAACCACAAACAAGAATGCATGTTCTCAGTAAATGTTGCAAATTCCCAAATTTGCATTCATAAAATGTGCATTTAAAATCATTCACTTTAGAATTGCCCTCTTTAAAAATGTGTGACTTAAAGTGTTCATATGTGTATTTTAAAATTGTACATTTTCACACTTGCATCAAGGGCGGGGAGGGGAATGCATACTTTTGAAAAAGCACACTTTCCCCATTTGAGTAGAATGAAAAATCAGGTTGCAAACGACAAGAAAGCACTGTTCCAATCTTTAAAATACATCTTGAGAATTCCAGCAAGCTCAACTAACTCTGGTTCTTCAGTGCCCAGCATTTCCTAACCCTACATCCTCCACCATGCAGTGACCCCATCTAAAAGACTGAAACAGCGATAGGACCAACAGCCAGCCTGCAGTTTCTGGTCATTTGTACCAAAACCTAGCAATGAAATATGATTTTATGCCTGTAACTGATGTCTAGCTGAGCAAAATTTAGCAGGTGCAACTTTGCCAGTTACTGCAGCATTTTGCAAACTGCACCTGCCAATGTTCCCACTTTACATCCACAGAATCTGCTGTGGAGTCAGAAGTCAGCAGCATCTCATTTCCACAACTTCTTGAGGTTATAGGTGATGAGATCCATGAAGCTTGCAAGAAATTTTCTAACTGCATTTCCAGAACTCTACAGGTGAAATTAAGTCCACTGCTGAGTCTGGTTGCTTTTGATGAGATTTGATTTGATTTTGTTTTGTTGCTTTCGAACAGAATCCTTCATTGTGCCTTGTAGCAGAAGTAATTGAACTAGTGGAGCCAATATCAGCCCTTTCAAAGTTTTTTCTCTGTAGAAGGGTCATAAGAGAAAAATGTAAAAGCTGACCCTGTGTTTTTTGCTCAGAAACTTCATTCCCTTGCAGATTCAGTGAAACACATAAAATTCTCCATCTTTGTCAAAGGACCCGCATTATTTTCATATGGCAACTGTTACAGTAAATTTGTTTTGAGATTATTTTTATGCAACTGTACAGTCAACCAAGGCAGCAGCCTATGTTACATAATTTTTGGGTCCTTGAGTGACAACAAAACAAGGTTCCAAAATGAAAAGTTAATGCGTTAATCTCAGTGTGGCCCTCTTCCAATACAGATAGATTTGAAAGTAAATAGAAAAGTGTGTCCAGGTTCTTTGGTGTATTAGATTTTCTTCTTTTTGTGTCTCTCATCCATTGGCACACAATTGAGAATAAGCCCTTGCCGGAATGACTAGGAATTGTTTTGCTCAAAGAGCTGTGAAAACTACTAAGTAAATCCATTTCAGTGGGCTCATCTTGTTTCAAGGGCATTATACCTCTGAACTGTCATGGTGTTCAGGATCTGTAGAACAATTGCAGTCTCAACTGAAATATAAGTACAATTATTCTGAAGGATAGATGAATGTTTTTAAGCTCCTGGTGATCTAACCTGGTTTGAGGTAAAGGGAACTAGGAAGATTTGAGCCACAATAGGACCTATATTTAGTTACTAAATTATCCTTGCTTGTATCCAAATATAGTCTAACTTCAGTCTACATAGGTTGTACATAGGTGCAATCCTATGCATGTTTAGACCGATAAAAGTCCTGCAGCTCCCAGCATTCCCCAGCCAGCACTGGAGCATTGTGATACTGTGGAATGCTGGGAGCTGTAAGACTTTTATCAGTCTAAACATGCATAAGCTTCTGCCCTAACACACATAGTAATCCTATTTCACAGGAGTCACACTAAAGAGAACCAAAATTTTCTATCCAAAAATGCTCAAGAAAGTGGACAGACTTAAGAACAATGGGAATGATCTAATCCATTTAAGAACTTTCACATTATATTGATTCCAATGGAACAAATGGCTGTTTTATGTATTAAATAGTAGATAATGGCTACGTTCATACAGCATGACATGCAGTCATGCATTCTGACTACAATTTGTGTATTTTAACTAACAGGTGATCATGTGGTTTCCATCCTCCCTGCTTAGTCCTGTTGACCTGTACCCTATCAGGCACTATGCCTCAAATTCAGTCCCAAGGTACATCATTCACTGCCTATGTTGCCTGTTTCTTCCTTACTGTTTAGCCCATAGAGGTTGGATGGCTAGAGTGGCTCTTGCAGTGACCAATCTTTCTAGGAGACTTGTTGGTAGTTGCAACCATGTGGGAACCACGCACCTAGGTTTAGAAAACAAAACAAGCCATAGTGACACAAAGAAACCATAGGACAAATTATTGGCTGGGTTCAGAACACATCACAAGCCATTTGATGGTGGTGGGGCTTTCCATTGTTGGTCCATGATGTTATCTGAACCCAGTCATAGGTTACATTTCGTCATGTAAATTTAGTGTTTAGAAACTATAAGAAACAACAGTTTGTTTCTATGATTTATTCATACCACTGCGGATTATTTTGTTTTGTGGACTCAGGATCATGGTTTCCACAGTCCTGGTATAAAATCACCAAAAGTTCTCTGAAAATAGTGGCAGCTGCAGGCAGTGCTCCAGCCAGCCACCCTCTGTGTGTGGGCCAATGAGGAAGAGGCAGGCAATACATGCAAGGAGTGTTACACCTTGGGATTGAATTTCAGGAACAGTGGGATATGTGCCAACAGTGGGTGGACTGAGCAGGGAGAATGCAAACTATGATAACTTAGAAAATACTTGATCATCTATCAAATAGATCATGGTAAAAACAACAGCAGCAGCCATGGTAACCATGCAGGTTGTTAGTCATGTTTTCAGAACAAGTCATTGTTTATTACTATGGTTTCTGAATGCTGAGCTTACCCTGGTGAATTGCATGGTAACAATTGCTTGGTGAAAACAACTGCATTCATAGAACATGACAGACCAACAATAGTGTGTGTGTGTTTGTATATAAAACCATCATGACTTGTGTTGACAGCCAATGACTAGGACAGCACAAAATGATAACACACACTCAAGGGTTAAGAGTTGTGGAAGAACTATAGGTTA